TGCGAATATATGCACATATGGGGAGCTCCACGCAGTGGAACATTGTTCTAAGATCTGTGCGTGGTAGGCCTATACAACTGCCGGGCTGGTCGGTCCTTGCTTAATGCTCGTCCCCGTCGGCCCCGCGCTTCTCGTCTTGTTCCCCTTCCGCCCCTACGATGGATTCGGGCCGCTGGGTGCATATAATGGCGGTCATCTCATCGGCGGGCAGATACTTGCTCGAGCCGATTTTTGTTCGTCGAGATTATGGCTTCCACGCCAAGCCCGAAGTGGCGGCGAGCTCCCCAGAGGAGCACGACCGACTCAGGCGTTCGCTTCGCTCCACTTCTGCCCTCCTCGTGCCCCTCTCCTCGCCAGGCTCGGTCTCCTCTCCGCTCCTCCCTCCTCCCCCTCGCTCCTCGCTTTCCTTTTCCTTTCTGGCCAAGGAGGAGGCGGGGTGGAACTTAGGAACGGGAGGAGGGAGAGGGACAGGGGAACATGGGAACAAAGGGTGAGGGGGAGGAGGGAAGAGAAGCAGAAGGGAGAGCACGAGGAGGAGGAGGAGGAGGAGGAAGAGGAATAAGAGGAGGAGAAGAACGAGGAGGAGGAGGTAGTAGCGTGTCGGTTGCAGCATGTGGCAGCAGTTCGATGGTATTATGTTTCGTGTTGAAGGCACGGTGGCAGCTTGATGCCACCTGGTGCAGAGTCGGGGTGTTTTGTGATGTCCACATCGCAATTTGAACGTGGTCCGATATCATTATGAAAATGGAGGAGGGATACGAGGAGGAGGAGGAGGAGGAAGAGGAGGGAGGAGGAGGAGGATGGGGGGAGGAGTAGTAGTAGGAGGAGGAGGAGGAGGAGGAGGAGGAGGAGGAGGAGGAGGGGGGGGGGAGGAGGAGCCCACCTTGGCGTGTGTGGCCGCCGCACATGGTCACGCCGCCAGCATCCACCCACCCTAACTTGCGGCGGTTTGAGCCTCATTCAACCCCCTGCCTCGCCACACTTGTAGAAGTTGCGCACGCTGCTCAGTCAGGCTAAATCTGACTTTCAGCCAATAATCCCTTCCTCACTCCTGTGCCGCCTCGTCTGCTGTTGCAGCCGCCCTTGTTAGCGCCACTCGCCTCCAGGCGCCTTACTTTGAGTCACGGCACTCACCGCCTGAATACGACAGCTACCGTTCTCATTCACCACCCTGTCGCTTGTCTTACCCCCACAGCCGCTACAGCCATCAACCCTCCTCACCGCACCTCGCGGCCGCCAACAAGACGGAGGGATGGACGTGCCCCAGTGTGTGTGTGTGTGTGTGTGTGTGTGTGGTGGGGGGGGGGGTGCAACAAGCGCCGCCGCCGCAGCGGCGGCCGAAGCCTCCCCGCGCCTGGTGGCGCTCCCTACAGAGGAATCCCTCCTTGGGAACCCTACAGCCAGGGCGCTGAAGAAGGAACCCTTTTCGATGGGGAGGGGCTCGGTGTTCCTCGAGTGTTCTACAGCCTGCCCTGGGTTTTCATGAGGTTCCCCATGGGAGAACGACGTGTAACTTATGGGAAAACATGGCCTCGCTCCTTATTTGGAGTTCCTTAGGCCACCGCCCCGACTGTACGGCCACCTCGGTGGGCGCAGGCCCCCCTGCTTGGACTCTGCGGGGGGGGGTCCCCGGGGCTGGGAGGAGCCTTCGAGCCCCCCCCCTCCGCGCGAGGAGCGCGGCCTCGCCGGCCGCCGCGGCGGCCGCTGCCGCAGTCCCCCTTATCGCACCTCTCGTCCTTTTCCCTGGCATCGCTCGGACGTGTGCATTTTTTCCTCGGCGAGGGCCATCAAGGAGCATCCTTGATCATTTAGCGAAAAAACCACGCACGAAACCGAAAAAAACACAAGGACGTCCAAGCGATGGCGAGTTCCGGTGCCTCCCTTTCCCCCTCTTCCACCCCCCTGAAGCGCTGGGGGGGGGGGGGCGCTGCCCCGCTCATGGGGAGGGGGGGGGTCCGCGCGGCGCGTTGTTTTGGTCACCCAACCCTCCTTGGTTGGGTGTTCGTGTTGAATCGTGCACTGTGGCCTCCGTCCTTTCTTCTCTCCTTCCCGCCTCCCTCCTGCCTCCCCTTGTCTTGCCTCAGAGTGGAGGGGGGTGACACTGTCGTCATTTTCGAGGGCTGCTGGGGGGTCTAGCACAGTGACGTCCTACGCGGGTTCACATGGGACCTCGCCATCCTTGGGGGGCTGCGATCTGTGATACTGTCGCCACTCTCGAGGCCTGAAAGGGGGGTCCAGCACAGTGACGCCCTCCGCAGGTTCAAATGGGACCCCGCCAGCCCTCGGGGGCTGCGATCTGTGAAACGGTCGCTTCTTTCGAAGCCTGCAAAGGGGGTCCAGCACAGTGGCGTCCTACGCAGATTCAAATGGGACCTCGCCATCCCTGGGGGGGCTGCGATCTGTGAAGCTGTCGCCACGTCTTACGCAGTTTCAAATGGGACCTCGCTATCCCTGGGGGGCTGCGATCTGTGAAACCGCCGCCATTTTCGAGGCCTGCAAAGGGGGTGCAGCACAGTGACGTCCTACGCAGATTCAAATGGGACCTCGCCATCCATGGGGGGATGCGATCTGTGATGCTGACGCCACTCTCCAGGCCTGCATGGGGGTCCAGCACAGCGACGTCGTACGCAGATTCAAAGGTGACCTCGCCATCCCTGGGGGGCTGCGATGTGTGACGCTGTCTCCACTCTCGAGGACTGCTGGGGGGTCCAGCACAGCGTCGTCCTACGCAGATTCAAATGGGACTTCGCCATCCCTGAGGGGCTGCGATCTGTCAAAGTGATTCCACTTTCGGGGCCTGTTGGGGGTCCAGCACAGTGTCGTCCTACGCAGATTCAAATGGGACCTCGCCATCCCTGGGGGGCTGCGATGTGTAAAACTGTCGCCACTTTCGAGGCCCGCTGGGGGATCCAACACATTGACGTCCTCCGCAGATTCAAATGAGACCCCGCCATCCTTCGGGGGCTGCGATCTGTGAAACCGCCGCCACCTTCGAGGCCTGCAGAGGGGGTCCAGCACAGTGACGCCCTACGCAGATTAAAATGGGACCTCGCCATCCCTGGGGGGCTGCGATGTGTGACGCTGTCTCCACTCTCGAAGCCTGCATGGGGGGGTCCAGCAGAGTGACGTCGTACGCAGATTCAAATGGGACCTCGCCATCCCTGGGGGGCTGCGATCTTTGGAGCTGTCGCCATTTTCGAGGACTGGTGAGGGTTCCAGCACAGCGACGTCCTACGCAGATTCAAATGGGACCTCGCCATCCCTGGGGGGGCTGCGATCTGTGACATTGTCGCCACTTTCGAGGCCTGCTGGGGGGTCCAACACAGTGACGTCCTCCGCATATTAAAATGGGACCCCGCCATCCCTGGGGGGCTGCGATCTGTGAAATTGTCGCCACTTCCGAAACCTAATGGGGGGGCAGCATGGTGACGCCCTACGCAGATTCAAATAGGACCTCGCCATCCCTGGGGGGCTGCGATCTTTGAAGTTGTCGCCACTTTCGAGGACTGCATGGGAGTCCAGCACAGTGGCGTCCTGCGCAGATTCAAATGGGACCTCGCCATCCCTGGGGGGCTGCGATTTGTGGAACTGTCGCCACTTTCGACACCTGCATGGGGGTCCAGCAGAGTGACGTCGTACGCAGATTCAAATGGGACCTCGCCATCCCTGGGGGGTTGCGATCAGTGAAACGGTCGCTTCGTTTGAGGGCTGCTGGGGGATCCAGCACAGTGACGTCCTACGCAGATTCAAATGGGACCTCGCCATCCCTGGGGGGCTGCGATCTGTGACGTTGTCGCCACATTCGAGGCCGGCTGGGGGGTCCAGCGCAGTGACGTCCTACGCAGATTCAAATGGGACCTCGCCATCCATGGGGGGCTGCTGCTATGCGTGAACTGACACCCTACGCAGATTCAAATGGGACCTCGCCATCCCTGGGGGGCTGCGATCTGTGAAAGTGTCGCCACTTTCGAAGCCATCTGGTGGGGCAGCATAGCGACGCCCTACGCAGATTCAAATGGGACCTCGCCGTCCGTGTGGGGCTGCGATGTGTCAAACTGTCGCCACTTTCGAAGCCTGCTGGGGGGGGGCAGCACAGTGCAGATTCACCTCGCCATCCCTGGGGGGCTGCGATTTGCGAGGGGGGGCAGCACAGTGGGGCTCCGCGGCGGAGTCAATCGGGGCCTCCCAGATGCTGGTCGCAGCAATACATACGTCGTTTTTCGCCATTTCCCCCTTATGATGTCGCCCAAGCTACTCATGCCCCGCATTGCGCAGGGGTTGGGTACGTCGCCAGGGTGTACCCCTTAGGCGATGCTTAAGAAAACTTACGTTTTCGGCCAGAGTCTCGATTATTCTTAATGTTTCAATGTGAATCCTATGAGTTTGATAGAAGTTTTGGGTTTTTATTCAAATTCTGAGACTATGAATTTCTTAACCCATGATTTCTTAAGCATTTCGCAGGGGGTATATATATATATATATAACACCACGAAACATTAGTTGGGCCAGCCCCTCCCAGGGTCGACCGACCCTGCGAGGGCGATGGCACCAGCCAACAGCTGCAATCGGTGAGGAGGAGGAGGAGGAGGAGGAGGAGGAGGAGCTTTGGGAGGAGGATGTGCAGGAGAGCATCCTTCATAAGACTTCCTCATCGAGAGGGGGGAGGACGAGGTGGTGCGAGGAGGGCGTGGGAAAGGAGGCGTGATACAGGCGGGGACACTCGGGAGGAGGGGCTCAGCGATGCTGGGCAGGAGCGAGGAACGGGAGGAGCAAGAGGAGGAGGAGGAGGAGGAGGAGGAGGCGGAGGAGGAGAAGGAGGAGGAGGAGGAGGAGGAGGAGAAAGAGAAGGAGAAAGAGAAGGAGAAAGAGAAGGAGGAGGAGGAGGAGGAGGAGGAGGAGGAGGAGGAGCAGGAGGGGGAGGAGGAGCAGGAGCAGGTGCAGGAGCAGCAGGAGCAGGAAGAGGGCGACGAGGAGGAGCCCCTGCATGGGAGGCCGAGGAGGAGGACCTCGAGGGGCGGCGGGCCCGGCCGAGGGCCTCCTCGGCCAGCTGTGGCTGGCTGGGCGCTGCCCCCCTGCCATGGGCGCCAGGCCTGCTGCGCACCACCATGGCGGTGGAGGCCCAGCAGGCGCGGGTTCGGTGCCTGCGGGCGCCGTCGTCGTCGTAGTCGCCGCCGCCGTCGTCATCGTCGTCGTCGTAGTCGTCGTGATCGCCGTCGTGGTCGTGGTCGTGGTCGTGGTCGTGGTTGTCGTCGCCTCCGCCGCCGCCGCCGTCGCGGGCGTCGTCGTCGTCCTTCGTTGTCCGCCGGTCGCGGTCGTCGCGTTCGACGCGAGGAGGAGAGCGGAGGAGGGCGGTGCCCTGTCTTCCAGTTCCGGTTCCTGCAGCGGCTCCTCTTGGTGCTCCTCCCTCGTCCTCTGCTCGCGCCTCGGCGCAAACGCTTCCGCTCTTATCTTCCTGCTACTCTTGGCCCCACCCCCGCCATCCCCGCCTCGCTCCTCGTCCGCCCATCTCGTCTCTCGATCTCCATATACTCGTCCCTGCATCTCCATCTCCCCGTCCTCGCGCATCTATCTTCCTGCTCCTCATGCCTCCAGCTCCTCGTCCGCGTCCCTGTCCTGGAGGGTCAGACTGGTATCTCGGCGCAGCTCGCGGGGCAACGCCTCCCCTCTTGTGATCGAGCGTCGTCGTTGTCGTCGTTTTCGTTGTGGTTGTGGTCGTCGTCATCGTCGTCGTCGCCGAGCGGGGGCTTCCCTGGCGGGCTTATTGAGCCCATCTCTGATGGTGGTGATGATGATACTGAAGTTGATGATGATGATGATGCTTCTGCTGCTGATGAGGATGCTGATGATGATGCTGCTGATGATGATGATGCTGATGATGATGATCATGTTCATGATCATGATCATTATCATGGTGATGGTGATGGTGATGATGATGATGATGATGATGATGATGATGATGATGATGATGATGATTATGATGCTGATGCTGATGCTGATGCTGATGATGATGATGATGATGATGATGATGATGATGATGATGATGATGATGATGATGATGATGATGATGATGATGACGGTGAAGATGGTGGTGGTGGTGGTGAGGAGGAGGAAGGAGGCGCAGGAGGAGCTGGAGAGAGGATGAGGAGGAGGACCAGGAGGCAGGCGGAGCGCAGCCCTCGTCGAGGGCGGCCCCCGAGGCGGGCACCATCTTCTTCGACGCCGCCAGCAGGGCCACGGGCAGCGTGCAGGTGGACCAGAGCACCGTCGTGCGGACGCTGCCCAATGGCAAGGTAGAAACCTGGCGCGTGATCGAGGCGGCGCGCGCCCTCCCGGGGCTCTCGGATGGGGGGCCTTCGCCCTGGCAGGCGTCACGAGCGGCGAACATACAGTCGGGGCCCTGAAGAAGGAACCCTTTTCGTTGGGGAGGGGCTCGGTGCTCCTTGCTTGTTCTGCAGTATGCCTTCGGTTCTCCCGAGGTTTCCCTTATGGGAAGTCGAAGTTCCACTTATGGGAGAAAGGGGCCTCGTTCCTTATTTCGGGTTCCTTAGGTCAACGCCCCGACTGTATCCGTACCCGCGCCCTCGCGGTCTGGGCTCCGCCCACGACTAAGGTGGGTCGTCGTCGTCGCCGCCGCCGCTGCCGCCGCCGCCGTCGCCGCCGCCGCCGCCGCCGCCGTCGCCGTCGTCGTCGTCGTCGTCGTCGTCGTCGTCGTCGTCGTCGTGGTCGTCGGCGGCCACCTTTTGGGCATTGGATGGTTGTGTGCCCGCCTGTTCTGCCCGTGCGCAGCGCTTCGCCTGCCTGCGGCACCGCCGTGCACGCCGAGCCTGTTGGCGAGCCACGGGCGCCGCGCCTGGCCACAGGCTCATCTCATGACGAGGGGGGCGGCTCTTACGGCTGGCATGAGAATTGTTTCGTTCAACCCGAAATCCAGTGCCAGGCTCGAGCCTCAACGTCGTTGAACAAGAGATATCGGGGTTGGACAGACCTCCTAGCAGTGACACGTCGATCAGTGAGTTGTCCGTTGTCGGTTCTCGAGAGGGCGCCGCGGCCGTTATTTTCCAGGCTTGCGCCCGCCAGGTTTGGGCCCGAGGTCGTTTTCACTAAACCACCTTTTACTAAAGGGAGGTCTGTCCATCCCCGAAAATAGTCGTCGTCGTCGTCGTCGTCGTCGTCGTCGTCGTCGTCGTCGTCGTCGTCGTCGTCGTCGTCGTCGTCTTCGTCGGGGGGCCGACGCCGTCGGCCTCGGGGGCGTCGTCGTCGTCGTCGTCGGCGGCGTCGTCGTCGTCGTCGAGGGCGGCACCCGGGGCAAGCGCCCTCTGTATCCGCGGGGCTGCGGCCCGGGAGCCCTGCCCTTGAGGCCACGGTCACGGATTTGTTCCCAACCATCCTGTGGTGTTGGGTCCTCGTTTTGAAGAGACGGTGCCCCGCGTTCCCTCCTTCTCCTCCTCCCGCTGCCCCCTCCCTCCTGCCATCATCATCATCATCGTCATCATCATCATCGTCATCATCAACATCACCATGATATTCGGCGTCATCATCAGCATCACCCTCCGCATGTCTCTATTTCGGCACACCAATCACACGGTTCGTGGCCCCATAGGGAGCTCCACCGAAGCCCCCAGTGGCAGGGTTCGCATGGCGGCCCCGCCTCATTTTGGCGCACCCCTCACACGGTTCGTGGCCCCATAGGGAGCTCCACCGAAGGCCCCAGTGGCAGGGTTCGCATGGCGGCCCCGCCCATTTTGGCGCACCCCTCACGAGGTTCGTGGCCCCATAGGGAGCTCCACCGAAGGCCTCAGTGGCAGGGTTCGCATGGCGGCCCCGCCTCATTTTGGCGCACCCCTCACACGGTTCGTGGCCCCATAGGGAGCTCCACCGAAGGCCCCAGTGGCAGGGTTCGCATGGCGGCCCCGCCCCATTTTGGCGCACCCCTCACACGGTTCGTGGCCCCATAGGGAGCTCCACCGAAGGCCCCAGTGGCAGGGTTCGCATGGCGGCCCCGCCCCATTTTGGCGCACCCCTCACACGGTTCGTGGCCCCATAGGGAGCTCCACTAAAGGCTTCAGTGGCAGGGTTCGCATGGCGGCCCCGCCCCATTTTGGCGCACCCCTCACACGGTTCGTGGCCCCATAGGGAGCTCCACCGAAGGCCCCAGTGGCAGGGTTCGCATGGCGGCCCCGCTTCATTTTGGCGCACCCCTCACACGGATCGTGGCCCCATAGGGAGCTCCACCGAAGGCCTCAGTGGCAGGGTTCGCATGGCGGCCCCGCCCATTTTGGCGCACCCCTCACACGGTTCGTGGCCCCATAGGGAGCTCCACCGAAGGCCCCAGTGGCAGGGTTCGCATGGCGGCCCCGCCCATTTTGGCGCACCCCTCACACGGTTCGTGGCCCCATAGGGAGCTCCACCGAAGGCCTCAGTGGCAGGGTTCGCATGGCGGCCCCGCCTCATTTTGGCGCACCCCTCACACGGTTCGTGGCCCCATAGGGAGCTCCACCGAAGGCCCCAGTGGCAGGGTTCGCATGGCGGCCCCGCCTCATTTTGGCGCACCCCTCACACGGTTCGTGGCCCCATAGGGAGCTCCACCGAAGGCCCCAGTGGCAGGGTTCGCATGGCGGCCCACCCCCATTTTGGCGCACCCCTCACACGGTTCGTGGCCCCATAGGGAGCTCCACCGAAGGCCCCCAGTGGCAGGGTTCGCATGGCGGCCCCGCCCCATTTTGGCGCACCCCTCACACGGTTCGTGGCCCCATAGGGAGCTCCACCGAAGGCCCCAGTGGCAGGGTTCGCATGGCGGCCCCGCCCATTTTGGCGCACCCCTCACACGGTTCGTTGCCCCATAGGGAGCTCCACCGAAGGCCCCAGTGGCAGGGTTCGCATGGCGGCCCCGCCCATTTTGGCGCACCCCTCACACGGTTCGTGGCCCCACAGGGAGCTCCACCGAAGGCCTCAGTGGCAGGGTTCGCATGGCGGCCCCGCCTCATTTTGGCGCACCCCTCACACGGTTCGTGACCCCATAGGGAGCTCCACCGAAGGCCCCAGTGGCAGGGTTCGCATGGCGGCCCCGCCTCATTTTGGCGCACCCCTCACACGGTTCGTGGCCCCATAGGGAGCTCCACCGAAGGCCCCAGTGGCAGGGTTCGCATGGCGGCCCCGCCTCATTTTGGCGCACCCCTCACACGGTTCGTGGCCCCATAGGGAGCTCCACCGAAGGCCCCAGTGGCAGGGTTCGCATGGCGGCCCCGCCTCATTTTGGCGCACCCCTCACACGGTTCGTGGCCCCATAGGGAGCTCCACCGAAGGCCCCAGTGGCAGGGTTCGCATGGCGGCCCCGCCCCATATTGGCGCACCCCTCACACGGTTCGTGGCCCCGCAGGGACATAGAGAGCTCCACCGAAGGCCTCAGTGGCAGGGTTCGCATGGCGGCCCCGCCCCAGTGTGGCGCACCCCTCACACGGTTCGTGGCCACATTGGGAATTCTTTTTGCTTCGTCCCACCTGCCCTGCGGTATTCACGTTTGCATATTGTTGGGTCTTTCGCCAGGTTAATTTTTTTGTGCCCCTGGTGCCGCTGCCAGGGAAGTCTGGCTTCCTCTACAGTCGGGGCGCTGAAGAAGGAACTCTTTTCGTTGGGTAGGGGCTTCGTGTTCCTTAATCGTTTCACAGTCTGCCCCACGTTTTCCTTAGGCTTCCGAAGGGAAATCGAAGTTCAACTTCTGGAGAAAAGGGGCCTCGTTCCTTATTTAGGGTTCCTTAGGTCAGCGCCCCTACTGTACCCTCTCCGTCGTCTGCCAATGCCAGTGCGGGCTGGTGGCGGCTCCCCCGGGCGAAGGAGGTGGGGGGGTTAGCGAAGGAGGCGGAAGGGGGGGCGATTCAGCGCAAGGGGAGAGAACGAGAGAACGATGAGGCACAAGCATCTGTTCGATCACCCTCCAGGTGTGATCCGGACCGCCAGCTTGGCAACACCGGTGGTTTTTGTGTATGTGTGCGTGTGTGTATGTGTGTATCTGTGTGTATCTGTGTGATCGAGGTGTGTGTGGTGTGTGTGTGTGGTGTTCTCGCCCTTGTTAGTGCTCTCTCTGAGTCTGCCATTCGTGTGCACATGGACGTTTAGGGACAGTGATGTCCCAGAGCACGTTTACATGGTTGCAAAGGCAGCGATGACAGGTGGGTCGGCGATTGATTGCGGAGGCGAAGGCTGTTGCTGATCATTTTTCTTTCTGTCGGCCGCTGGCTGTGCTGCTGCTCATCTTGTCCCCACTAGCTGCTACTCTCTCCGCTCCTCATCCTCAGCCTCCTCATCCCTCGTTCTCCCCCTCCTCCCTCCTCGCTTCTCCCCTCCCCCCGCTCCTCCGCTCCACCCCCTCTCTCTTGCTCCTCACCGCTCTTCTCCTCCCCCTCCGCCTTCTCCTCCCCCTCCTGCTCCTCCTCCTCCTCCTCCTCCTCCTGCTCCTCCTCCCCCTCCTCCTCCTGCTCCTCCTTCTCCTCCTCCTCCTCCTCCTGCTCCTCCTTCTCCTCCCCCTCCTCCTCCTCGTCCTCCGCCTCCTCCTCCTCCTCCTGCTCCTCCTCCTCCTCGTCATCCTCCTCCTTCTCCTCTTCCTCCCCCTCCCCCTCCCCCTCCCCCTCTGCCCCCGCGGCCGCCGCCGGACCCGCGCACAGCCAGCCGGCAGGAAGGCCTTTCCCCCCCCCCGCGCGCCGCGGGCCGCGAGTGGAGCTTCGACCCCTTCGCGCAGGGGGCGCCGTCGAAGACGAAGAGGAGGAGGGAGCCGGAGCCGCCGGTCCAGGCTGGCCATCGAGGGGGTCGTCCTCGTGTCCCTCTCCTCCTCCCCCTCTCCTCCTCCTCCTCCTCCCCTCCTCCTCCTCCTCCTCCTCCTCCTCCCCCTCCTCCTCCTCCTCCCCCTCCTCCTCCTCTTCCTCCGCCTCTTTCTCCTCCTTTCTCCCCCTCCCCCTCCTCCTCCTTCTCCCCCTCCTCCCCCTCCTCGACAGGGGGGGGGGATGGGTATATGGGGGGGGACGCATCGAGCCCCAATGGCCCATGGATCGGGCCTGGGCCCGCCGGGCCAGGATCAGGCCGGGTGCATGTTTAGCGTCCTCACATCGCCTTCACTCAGAGCCCCGAATCATCAGGGGTAACTCGGGTCAGGGTCAACTCGGGTTCGTTTTTCGGGAAACCAAACCCGAGTTACCCCGGACCCGAGTTACCCCCGGATAACTCGGGCGTCCAATACACTCCTTCGATTAAGCAGTGGCGAAGCGTCTTGGGTCGGGGCCCGAGAGACTCAGAAAAGGAAAAACACACATAAGCACAAAGGGTTGTATTGATTTTACGCCGGAAGGGGGCGTCGTTGAGAGGGTGCCTAGCACGGATGCGGGGACCGGTGTGGCGTCGGTCTTTGGAGCTGGCGGTTTGCGTGGCAAGTGCGGTTAGCTGGTCGCATGTGTTCGGAACCCGTGACGGGTGGAACTGACCGCTCACCGCTCACCAGCATTGACCCCCGTCTCAGACGGGGGTCAATGCAGACGGTGGTCAGCCAGAGCGGTGGATCTTGCAGGATCCTGCAGGGCCCGGGTCGCACGGACCCGGGCTTGGGCGCAGGATCCGGCAGGACCTTGAAGGATCCTTGACGCTGGCCGGGATTTGGGTGCAGGATCTTGTAAGATTTTGCAGGATCTTGCAAGGCCTGGCTGACCCGGGTCTAGATTGACACGGGTCAGAAGAGCCCCGAGAGGGGGTCGTCCTCGTGGTCGGGTGAGTGGTTCAAGGAGTGGCGAAGCGTCCTGGCTCGCCGATGGCCCTACCAAACAAGCTTCCAGCAACCTGTTGCGGTGTCCACGAGCTGTTCTTAGAACATCTCTGGCGCAGTTTGTCTTGTTTCCTCACGTTGGGTTTCTGTTATGAGAGTATTGTGTTTGTTATAAGAACATTTTTGCGTTATAACAGCATTTCGTGGTAGGACTATAGGAATGCCTGGACGGTCGGTCCCTGCTCAAGTGGGTGGGCGCGCGGATTTCTTGGGTCCGCGCTGGGGCCTCCCCGGCGGCGCCGCCCCTGGCGCGCCCCGAGCGCAGATCCAAGACATCCGCGCGGACCGTCGAAAGTTTATTTTCATGTTGTTTGTTGTTCTTCCTCTAAACCCGAAGTTTGCACGGAAAGAATGGGCACGATGCCCAGCAGCACATGTTGTCCGAAGCCGACTGCGGCCGTTGTTGGGCAGGCGGCCTGCTGTCTCGAACGGGCAACGACCGTGGGAATACCGACAGGGAACCATGTTCAGAATGAGCAGCAGTTGCTGTTGGACTTTGCACCCATTCTTTCCGTACCTATGTCGATCGTCCCGAGAGTGGGAGGGTGTGTTGGATTTGAGGTCGGGGGAGCAAGAGTCAGCCACGCGCAGAGGGGGGTAGGGGGAGGGGGGAAGGCTTCGTAGAAGCACCCCTACTTCTCAGAAGGCGCAGGTCTTGTCTGTAGATGTGAGGCCTGCACTTTCCTAAGAAGCATCGTCCTTCTAAGAAGCCTTCCCCCCCTACCCTCTTCTGCGCGCCGCGAGCGGGGTAGGTGGAGGGGGAGGGGGGACGGGAGAGGGGAAAGCAGATGTGGTCGAGGGCTGGGCCGAGGTCGAGGACGTCGTCGACGCCGGCGGCATCGTCGTCGTGTTCGTTGTCCTCCCTCATTCCTCCATCCCTTACCTCATGACCCCTACTCATCAGGGCTGGGGGCGGTCAGGGCTAACTACAGATTCGCGCCTCGATGGCCCAAACCGGAGTTACCCTGGACCGCAGTCATCCCGGATGATTCGGGCGTCCAACCCTCCCAGAGAATGAGGACTTGGGGGCAGTCAGGGGTAGCTACAGATTCACACCCCGGGGGCCCAGACCAGAGTTCCCCCGGACCGCGTTTACCCCGGATCAGTCGGGCGCCCAATTGCCGGGAGCGGGAGTCGAGACCGAAGTGGGGTGGAACGCCCCCTACCAGACAAATGATTTCGCAGCGCGTGCGGGCAGGGCCAGGCTGTGGGAGGGCGTGCGAGCGTGAGAGGAATAGAGAAACACCGATAGAGAGAGAGAGAGAGAGAGCCTGCTCCTCGAAGGCTCGGCCACGCGCGGAGGGGGAGTAGGGGGAGGGGGAAGGCGTCTTAGAAGCACCCCTTTTCCTTAGAAGGCGCGAACCTTGTCTGTAGATGTGGGGCCGGCGCCTTCTGAGACGCAGCCTTCCTCTAAGGGGCTTTCCCCCCCCTCTCCCCGTGCCCCCCCCGCGTGCGCGCCGCCAAGGGAGATCCTGCTCCTGTAAGGCACATGTGCTGTCACATGGCCTCCGTGGTCCGCTCCCGCGGCGGGCGTCCCAGGTTGTCCCGCGGCTAGCCCACGGGAGTCCCGTGGCGCGCGGCGCGCCTCGGGGTTCCCATAGCAGCTTGTCTGAAATAGGGCCCCGCACGGCTTCCTGTCTGTAGAGCCAAATCGGCCACAGGACAGTGTGCGATGTTGGCCACACATTCGTCATCCATGCGCCCCCTGCCCGCCACGCGGCCCCCGAGGTGGACGACCCGGAGGAGCAACAGCAGCAGGGGGCAGAGGAGGGAGCGACACCTGGGGAGCAGGACGAACCAGGAGCCAGGACATTGCGGTTAAAACCGTTTATTCATGTTTTTTCCTTTTCCCCTGCCGCCAGGATGTACGTTGTCCTGTTGCGGCGCGTGGCTCCAGTGGAAATCCGATGTTGCGATAGAGATCAAGAGTGGGTCGGCTAGAAACGTGTAGCTACGTTAGAGCAGCTGGAAACGTGTAAGACTTCCCCGTTATGGTGTGCAGTAATAATGGTAGTCCGCTAAACATGTTGGCCGCTATGTAAATCGACGAAGGTGCGCCAGTGGATTTTCCTGAATACACTAAAGGGGGGGGGGGTCGAACCCCCCCCCCCCCTTCAAAGGAGGGGTGGTTCCGACCCCCCCCCTCCCCCCCCCCCCTCGCCCCCTTGGCGCTGGAAAGGTGGTGTTCGGATCCCCCCCGCCTCCCCCCCTTTGCGCCGGAAAGGGATCCGGGGAGGGGGGGCCTCTCTCGCTTCTCCTTTCTGCGCCGGAGGAGGTGTGTAGGGAGTACGGAGTTGGGAGTAGGGAGTGGTGAGTGTTGAGTAGTGAGTTAGTGAGTAGTGAGTAGTGAGTGTTGGGTAGAGCGTAGTGGGTAGTGAGTGGCGAGTAGGGAGTAGGGAGTCGGGGGTGGGCAGCAGTGAGTAGTGAATAATGATTAGTGTGTGCTGATAAGTGAGGAGTGAGTGGCGAGTAGTGAGTAGTGGGTAGTGTGTAGCGAGTAGCGAGTAGTGTGTACTGAGCAGGGAGTAGGGAGTAATGAGTAGTGGGTTAGTGAGTAGCGAGTAGTGAGTAGTGGGTGGCGAGTCGTGATTAGTGAGTAGTGAGTAGTGGGTAGTGCGTAATGCGTAGTGAGTAGTGATTACGTAGTAGTGAGTCATGAGTAGTGAGTAGTCAGTAGCGAGTAGTGAGTAGTGAGTAGCGAGTAGCGAGTCGTGATTAGTGAGTAGTGAGTAGTGAGTACTGAGTAGTACGTAGTGCGTAGTGAGTAGTGAGTAGTGGGTAGTGATGAAAAGAAAGTAGTGGGTAGTGGCAGTGGGGAGTGAGTAGTGAGTAGCGAGTAGGGAGTAGCGACTAGTGAGTAGTGAGGAGCGACTAAGGCGTAGTGAGTAGTGCGCAGTGAGTGGAGAGTAGTCAGTAGTGAGTAGTGGGTAGTAATTAGTGAGCAACGAGTAGGGAGGAGCGAGTAGTGAGTAGTGAGTAGGTAGTAGGGAGTAGGGAGTAGGGAGTAGGGAGCTGTGAGCAGTGAGTAGTAAGAAGTGGGTAGCGAATAGTGGGTAGTGCGTAGCGATTATGGAGTAGTGAGTAGGTGGTAGTGAGTAGTGACTAGTGTCTAGTGATTGTTCATTTGTGACTAGAGACTATGTTGTGACTAATGAGTAGGGAGTAGTGAGTAGTGAGTAGTGAGTACTGTCTAGCGCGGAGTGAGCAATGAGTAGCGGGTATGGGAGTAGCGAGTAGTGAGTAGTGAGTACTGAGTACCGTGTCGTCATAATTGTGTAGAGAGTAGGGAGTAGCGAGGGGCGGAGGTGGGTAGTGAGTAGCGATTTGTGGGCAATGAGTAGTGAGTAACGAGTAGTGGATAGTGGGTAGTGGGTAATGAGTAGTGACTAGTGAGTAATGAGTAGGGAGTAGCGAGTAGTGCTTAGTGAGTAGTGAGTATTGAGTAGTGGTAGTGAGGAGTGAGTAGTGAGTAGTGAGTAGTGAGTAGGGAGGAGAGAATAGTGAGTAGGGAGTAGTGAGTAGCGAGTAGTGGGTGGTGGGTAGTGAGTAGTGGATAGTGAGTAGTGAGTCGTGGGTAGTGAGTAGGGGGTTGTGAGAGGTGAGTAGCGAATAGCGAATAGCGAGTAGTCAGTAGTGGGTAGTGAAACATGAGTGGTGAGTACTGTTTGGGGCTGGCGTTAGTGGTTGGGGTTAGGATTCGGGGTTTGGTCTAGGGTGACGACTAGGGGTAGGGGTGGCGGGGGTCGGGTTCCGGAGTCAGGGGGCGGCGTGGCGAAACGGATCGGGGAAAGGGGGAGGGGTCCCAACCCCTCCCTCCCTTGGGGAGATCCAGCGGTGCACCCTCTCAATCGACCAGTGTACCGATATACGGTCAGTGTTGTCCACCTTGTACAAGTTGAGCCGACACCCGTAAGTTTCGCACGGCGCTTTCGCGCAATTGACAAAAATCCTGGCGAAAGACCCAACCAAATGCAATTGCGGGTGCCGCAATTGTGAATATCGTCTTCGGTGGAGCTCCCTATGGGGCCACGAAGCGCTGCACTGGATGGGGGGGAAACGCATGCGGGCGGTAGCACTGGGGCCGTCGGTGGAGTTCCCTATGGGACCACGAAGCGCTGTAATGGGTGTGTGGAAATGCCAAATTGGATGAATGGGACGCGCGCGGGAGGTCCGATTGGGGGTTTCGGTGGACCTCCTCATGGGGACACGAAGCGCTATAGTGGGTGGGCGAAAATACCACATTGGGTGTGTGGGACGCACGCGGACGGTGCCAGTTGGGCCTTCGGTGGAGTCTCCCTATGGGGCCACGAAACGCTGTATTGGGTATGGGCAACTACCAAATTAGTGCGTGGAACGCATGCGGACGGTGGCACTGGGGCTTTCGGTGGAGTTCCCTATGGGGCCACGAATCGCTGTATTGGTTGCGTGAAAATGCCAAATTGGGTTTCCCGGAGGCGCGCGGGCGGTCCCACTGGGGGCTTCGGTGGAGCTCCCTATGGGGCCGCGAAGCGTTGCACTGTGTGCGCGAAAATGCCAAATTGGGTGTGTGGGACGCACGCGGACGGTCCCAGTGTGGCCGCAGGTGGGGCTCCCTATGGGTCCACGAAGCGCTGTAGTGAGTGTACAGGGCGCATGCGGACGGTAGCAGTGGGACTTTCGGTGGGGTTCCCTATGAGGCCACGAAGCGTTGTACTGCGTGTGCGGGACGCACGCGGGCGGTCCCATTGGGACCCTCGATGGGTTTCCGATGGGACCACGGAGCGTGTGAAGTGTGTGCTGCAACGGGTGATGATGATGACGATGATGATGATGATGTTGATGATGATGATGATGCTGATGATGATGATGATGATGATGATGATGATGATGATGATGGTGATGGTGATGGTGATGGTGATGGTGCTGGTGGTGGTGATGGTGATGGTGATGGTGATGGAGGAGGGCGGAGGAGGAGGAACACGCGGGACCACCATTCGAAAACGAGGACCCAACACCCCAGGGGAATTCGCCACTGTATATGCTAATCGACACGTGTTCAGCCGCCACGAACGCACGGTTGCGATCTACACACATGTACAGTTATATATATATATATACATATACATACACGTGTATGTATATATATATATATATACATAGGGTGGCGTACGTCGTCAGATTCGAATGAATTTGACATCGCGTGTGCGCGATGCATATATTCGCGTTGAACAAGTTCGATGCTCGCCTGCGTGCGTCTTGTAAGTTATGCGTACAGTCGGCCGCTCAATCGTGTGATTCGCACTTCTCGCGTATGTTTGCGGAAGGAGGCCAGGGGGGGGAGGGGGGGATGTTCGAATTATCGGCCCCGTGGTTGGGCCACGGTATCACGGCCGCGGCTCGGGCGATGTTTCAAAAATGACGATCGGGTAGTTTCATGACAAGCGACATCTGTTGCCAAAACGTCACTTCGTATTGTACGGAATTCACCTCGGGCTGTCTTGCGAGAGGGTGACGGGGAAACATGTTGAGGGACAAATGAGAGAGAGAGAGAGAAAAAGAGGGGGGAAAACTGAAAGAGAGAGAGAGAGACACACAGAACAGACAGATGAGCGACTACGAAAAACAGAGGATCAGGAAGGGGATGAGGATCAGGGGGCGAAGTTGATCAGCAGGAACGGGACCCGGAAAGGGAGGCGGAGGGAAGTGGATGAGCAGGAGGACGAGACATTGTAGCACGAGCAGGACTGATTTCGGCTAACGTCAGCTGTGCCGATCGTGGGGCCCAATGGCAGAGACCAGCAGCAAGGTCAACTACACAGAGCGTGTTTCTGTTGTTACGCTCGAATGCCCGAGTGTGTGAACATTGGCTGGGTGGCATGTAGTACATCTCGGCGCTGGCCACGAGCCCAGCGACCCCCCAACCCTGCGAACTGAGCGCCAATACCGTCGGACCGAGGCATAAGATCGAGGCCGGTTCGGGGAGGGTGCCCTATTGTCCTTCGTGTTTGCTGGATGGTCTTGTGCACCTTGGGCAGGGCAACCTTGGATGTTGTGTGTGCTCTAACCTGCGGAGGGTCTCGTGATCTTGAGGGCTGCTCGTCTGGCCGAAGTCCGACTATACAGTGGAAGCCCATGCCAAGAAATACTGTGCTTGCCTCCAGGGTGCCCTGGGTTTCTTGGGTTTCGGCGGTTTTCTGTGGAAACCGTGACGCTCCCATACCCCAAATCAAGGGACGTCCTGGGGTCTCAGGGTTGGGTTTCTTGTGGAAGGTCTCTTGTGCTCGAGGCCCGACTGTAGTGCGTTTTGCTCAGAGTGGTGCTGCACCTGAGACCATCGCCGCCGATGTGCCGTCTGCCCCGTTGCCCGACCGCGTCTCTCCCGAGCGCGCGGGCGCCCTCCTCCGTGCCCTGGGGGGCGCCTTCCGCGGCGTGCGCCAGAGCACGAGCGCGCGGTGCCTCGCGCAGGGGTCAAGCCACGCGCGCGTGCTGACACGTTGAACACCAGGCTCCCCAACAGTCGACCCGCACAGTGATGATGGGCAACCTTCCCGAGGGTACCCGTTCATCCCCGCCTCCTCGGTCCGTCCTGAGCGACTTTCGCCGTCCAGCCTCTTGCGGAAAACGTCAGCGTGGCCATCCAAGGCCCTGGCAGCCTTACCGCGCGTCCTTGTGATACGGGTTGACCGGACGGCGTCTCTGGTTTGCGCGGCGATCCATATTGTTTGGGATGTTGCCCGCTCTCTTGGGCGCGGGTGCAGTGCGCGTGCGCCCACATGTGAGCCAGTGTCCTGACAGTCAGTCCGCACAGGAAGGCTGGGCAACCCTCCCAAGGGTGCCCTTGCATCCTTGCCTCCTCTGCCCATCCCTGGCCTCTCTCGTTGGCCGCGCCGCGCTCGAAGAGCGTCGAACTGGGCGTCTCAGGCTACATACCTCTCGCGCATCCTTGCTATACGGGCCGGCTGTCCTCTGCGTGCGTGCGCCCACTTTGTGGGCCGGTGGCCTCGCGAGCCCCGATCCTGTCTTGCCTGGCCGCCCCCGTAAGCTGCAGGTTCTTGCTCCTCCTCCGCGTGGCCTCCCGGCATCCCGCCTCCCTCCTCCCTGGCCCTTCTCCCGTCCCCTCCATCCCTCTTTCCCCTGCCCTTTCTCCTGGAGAGGAGGAGGGGGGGGGGAGTGGGACGACGTCGTCCGCGGCAGCGGCGGCTGGGACAGACGCGACGACCCCGCAGGCGATCAGCGAGTCCGCCAGCGAGTACGAGAGCGCCTCGGAAGAGCCCCCGCCAGGGCCCCCGCCGAAGCGGGGCCGAGGCGGTGCTTGCGGCCACTTTCCTGCCACGTCTGCGAGGGGGCGGAGCAGCGCAGAAGGAGGAGGGGGAGGAACAGCGTAAACCCAAGAGTCACCAACGATGTTGGACTAAACCGAATGTGCGCGGCGCTACGGCGAGAGCCACATTTTGAAAACCACCCGCCCTCAATCCGTGAAGCTCCTGCGACGGTTCAAAACGAATATGCGCGGTGCTATGGCGAGAGCCACGTGTGGAAAACCTCCCGCCCTCAAGCCGCGAAGCTCTTGCAGTTTTTGAAAACCAATGTGCGCGGCGCTAAGGCGAGAGCCACATTTTTAAAACGGCCCGTCCTCCATCTGTGAAACTGCTGCCCAGGCGAAACGCCCGGCCCGCCCTAAACACTGGCCTCGGGGGCGGAGGGAGGAGGAGGAGGAGGAGGAGGAGGAGGAGGAGGAGGAGGAGGAGGATGAGGAGGACGACGAGGAGGAGGACGAGGAGGAGGAGGAGGAGGAGGGAGGGAGGGAGGGAGGGAGGTTGGAGGGAGGGAGGAGGAGGAGGAGGAAAAGAGGGTGGAGGAGGACCAGGAGGAGGTTCGCCGTGGTGTGCGTTGGCCGTCCCCATGGCCCTCCTGCTCCTCCGCCCTCCTCTTGCTGCTAACATATGCTCGTGCGCCTCGGTCGCGCACCTCATGGGGGGCAGGCTCGGGGGATTCTGTCGACGCCGCTGGCCGTGCGAGGCTCTACTGAGAGTGCTGTCGAGGCTCGGCCTTGCAGAGTTCAGAGGATCGTTCAGCAATAAAGGTTCCAGGGTCGGTCGGCGGCCCTCCTGCTCCTCCGTCCTCCTCCCTTCGGCGCTGCCCTGACATCTACGGATACGGTGCGTGCGTCCCCCCCCCCCCCAGGGGCACCGCGCGCACCGAAAGATGTGATGGTACATACGTCGTGGCGGGCGCCTTTTGGCCACACCGCTCGGGAAACTGTCTAAAAGATGGGTATACTATCTATCCGTGTCGGACGCGCGCCTCCGAGGAGGACACATAGTACTAGTATGTCTTTGTGCGCCCCATCCCTCCCGAGTTTGATGCCAACATCCTCGTGTGCGTCGGTTGCGCACCTCTGGGAGGCAGGCTCGGAGAAGCTCCCTTTCCCCTGTGGTGCTGTTATGCCTCGTCAATTTCCTGCTCCTCTCTTTCTCTCTCTTTCTCTCTCTCTCCCGCCCCTCGTCCTTCTCGTGCCCCTCTCGTCCCCCTCATCGGGGAGTGTGATCAAGCTGTTGGCACCCAGCGTTGTGGATGAAAGCGAGCAGGATACCCAGGCCTGCCATCTGTCTTAGGTTCTACGGAGGGGGAGGAGGAGGAGGAGGAGGAGGAGGAGGAGGACCAGGACCAGGACCAGGACCAGGACCAGGACCAGGACCATGACCACAAGGAGGAGGAGGAGAATGAGGAGGAGGAGGAGGAGGAGGCGGAGGAGGAGGAGGAGGAGGAGGAGGAGGAGGAGGCGGCGTAGTAGTAGTAGGAGGAGGAGGATGAGGAGGAAGAGGAGGGGTTGTGGTGGTGGTCACTGCATTAGGGAACCAAGTCCCGAGCATAGCAACACGCACCACGACCACGACGACGCCGACGACGACGACGACGATGGAGACGAGGCGCGCAGACGATCCGCACCGAAACACGGATTCGGGAAAGGGCCCACCCTGCAGGTTCGGTTAAACAGCACATCGTTGAGCGGTGCTGCAGCCTTCCCTGAACACAGGCCCCCCCAGAGCATCAGCCAGACAAGTCGGGTTTGCACTCTCATGCTTTGCTGGACACTGGGCCCGTTTCGGCACCCTCGCCCCCAACCTCGTCAGGGCCACCGACAAATGGAGATGGCGGCGGTGGCCGACCCGTCCCTGAGCTAAGAAGCTCAAAGCGCCGCGGCTCAGAGAGCCGGGAATAGGAGGAGGAGGAGGAGGAGGAGGAGGAGGAGGAGGAGGAGGGGGAGGGGGAGGGGGAAGGGGGAGGGGGAGGAGGAGGGGAGGAGGATGAGGAGGAGGAGGAGGAGGAGGAGGAGGAGGAGGAGGAGGAGGAGGAGGAGGAGGAGGAGGAGGAGGAGGAGGAGATGGAGGAG